TGGAGAAAGAAAACCAGGACAGAGCCAGCATGGGACTTCCAGTACCTGTGCACCCTCAGCTTCCTTACCCTGTCTCCCTGGTTAGTGTTACCCACAGGGAACCAAAATATGCAGCTCTTAGCTCTGTAAAAAGTTGTGAGACTTGAAGAAAGAATTTGTACCTTTGGGAAAGGTGAATGAGAATATCAGTGGAAAATATTCTTATTTCTGTATTTGTAAAGGCTTTCCTGACACTGCATGTTAAAACCCAGCAGTGCAGTCAGGACTCCAGACCCTTGTACCAGGAGGAAAGATCCAATAATAAGTAAAAGCAAACTCATATGGCAAGAAAATTAGTAATGCAGCATGAACAGAGAAACTTGCATTATAATCCCACGAATTTTGTGGCAAACAGTTGTGAGCTAATTCAAAACTCTCCATGGCACAGCAGAGAGTAAGAGGATAAGAGCTCTGCAGTCTGTACTTGATGGATGCACCCAGAGCTGATCCCAGCTCCACAACCCCACACTGAATTTCTTCCTTTGCCTTTTGAGCAAAGCTGGGGTTCGTGTCAGGAACAGAGATGAAGTGGTGAGGCCAACCACACCAGATGGTCTGTGACACAGGAAAAGCAAAGCTCTTTACATTGACAGAGTTTAATATTTAAAAGTTGCTTAAAGTAAGAGAAAGCCTGGTGCAAAATGTTTGCAATTAATCCACTTCAGAGTCAGATTTCAGACAGAACCACAGAATTGTCTACACCAGTATCAAATTCAGAGTAGTGCTGGAGATCAGAAGCTCTGTGTGGGTAGAAGACCAAAAGTGGGTTTGACCCACAATCAGTAGCACAAGCACAGAAGAGCTTTTTCTTTCAACAGTTTTGCATAAATTCATTCAGTGACAAATATGTCAGTTGAGCAAGTGAGCCTTTATTAGACTTGAATTTAACAGCAAATCTGGGAAATCCTCCCAAAGCAACTATGGCTTCAGGATCCCAGATTTGCACTTCTAATTAAAACACTGTCAGTTTAGGTGTAATTCTCCATAAGGAATGGATTTGAGGAGGGGGAAGGGAGAAGTGGGAGAGAACTGAGATAGTGTTTGAACAGTTTTCCAAGGAGGTTTACTCTGTATATTTTCTGATGATCTTGTTAATATTTTTTGCAGAAATGTATTGTTCTCTTCTAATAGATGGCAAAGCAGAGGCAAACTCCTGCTGGCTTTTCCTACCTTCCATGAGGGATAAGATCAAAGAGAAAATTGTTTGATCAAGGGTTACATTTTGTTTTAAGAAATGAGATTATAGATGCATGATTTTCTATTTCTGTATGAATCCATCATTGGTAAGGCTAAAACATTAGAACAAATCTCTTCATAGGAACAAAGGGAACTTACAATTCCTTTCTGTGTTCCACTGGCAAAATGCAGTCACTTTTGCAAGGAAAGGTTTTTAGAAAGTCATGTAAGTAAAAAAATCAAAATTATTACTTTCAGCTTGACCATCTGCAGTATTTTTATTGTGTGGATTTAAAATAGTATGTTTCAGAATTATCTTTTAAATTATATATGCAGTAGGTAAAGATATAATCTACTATAAAAGCTGAAAGAAAATTATTTGAAACAAGAAAGCAGAAACAAAATTGTTTACCATGTTAAAATTATACCATTTAGCCTTTCAGAAATTAAACTATAAGTAATAGCAAAAGGCAAAGCTTGAACAGACCCAAAACAACCATTTTCAGAGTGCTACTTTTAGAGGACATTTGCAACCGTTATCTTTGCATTCCAAATGAGAATATTAAGGTTTTATTTACAATTTCAGAGTTTTCCACGGTCCTGAAATCTTGGTTCCCAGCCAGATCTAATTTTAAGTAGATTGTGCACTGTGGATAATGAGGGCAGAGTATTTACTACTCATTCCTGCAAGGGTAATGATGGAAAGGAGCATCCTGTTCTTGCCAGTTCTGGGAGGCACAGGCAGGATCCCAAGGCAGGGAGAAGAGTGGGGGTATGTGTGTTATTTTACACAGCACAGGCAGGGATAGAAGAAGAAATCAGGATATCTTAATTTGGTTGTGTAGGAAAGAAGAATCTAGGTGCAGAGGAAATAACACAGGTTGAAAAAAGTGAAATCTGGTCTATTTAGATATTTTACCCCTTTTTGCACCCCATTCGTGAAAGCCTCTTACACTCCTACCCTTGCTTATTTTAGTCCAATTTTTTTTAGACCCGGCTGTTTGCAAGGATTACAATGATAACGAACATGAATAAATTCAGAGGTCAAATAGACAGATCCAAATATCTGAATCTTAGCACATCTTTAAAGTCCTAACCAGGGTGCTCAGTCTCACCTTCGCTCTGCAGGGAGCTGAGTTACTGACTCCTTTCCACTCAGCAGGGAGCTGACTCCTTCCTGTTGTGCTTGAACAGCTACAGGGACACATTCTCATGCAGGAGGATTTGAACCCCACAGCACCCATTAGTGAAAAGAACTTGAGCCAGGGCTCAAGCTGCAGAACATTTCTGTTAGTCAAGTGTAAGGTCATTTTTTGTTACCTAGCTTCAGATTGAGACTTTCAAAACCTCACAGTGACTTCAAAGAACAAGATGTATCTCCTCCTCTGTGACTGCTCTTACTAGAGCATAAACATAATTCTAAGTCCCACCGGTTTTTGCCCAGGCTTTTAGCAACCTGGTGTTGAAGTCACTACTGTCAGAAATCAGACATTATCTCCTAAATTACAGTGCCTAAAAGGCACTTTGCAAATGTGTCCCGTGATGGAGGCACTGCCATTTGTCTGCTGGGGCTGCAGAAGAAGCAGAACAAGGTGGTAACAGATACTGCCTTTGCAAGCCCTTGCCATGGTAAGCAGGCTCAGTCTAAGCAGACAAGAGAAACTCATCTTGTTCTGTTCAACCTGTGTTCACTGCTCCTGAATGGGATCACATCTGCTTGTGTGGTGTTTATCATGACTGTCGTTATGTTCTTTATTGAGCTGCTCTGTCCTCCCAGATTCTCCATCCCTGGCCAGCTCTCCCTTGTGCTGCCCAGCCACGGAGCAAAAGGGCCGTGTCCTGTAGATCCCATGTGCTGAGTGTTCTCTCTGCTGGGCATTTCAGCAGTTTTGATTCACAGCTCCCAGCTCCAAGTCAATCCAGCAAGGAGGGCAAACATTGCCCACTAGCAGTGTCAGCAACAAAACATCACACACACGAGGCTATGCTGGCAGCCCTGGCAGCTGCTGACCTCCTCTCCTTTCCTCCACAGTCTGTGAAAGGGAGCACATCCCTCCTCATGCCATGAGGAGGAATGACCAGCACCAGCAGCAGAGACAGCCCAGATGAAAGCAGTCCATGATGGACACATGAATCCTGTCTGCATCCTTCTGTCTCCCTGGGCAAAGAAACAGCCCCTTCTCCCTCCTCCCCCAGCCCTCCCTGTTACCTTCCAGGCTCTACACCCCAAAGTTACTTTTCCATGCTGTCAGTGCCAGGTGTGAAGCTGGGAAGCACAAGCCATCTGCAGCTGAGGGCAGGCAGCCCCCTGGGATTAGCTGGTGGTGAATATCACCGGGATGTCGAGGGTCTGGAGGCAGGAATCCGGCTGACTGCCGCTGAAGGGATTGAAATGAGTCGCAGAAATATCCCAGCTTCATCAGGAAGGAAAGGCTGTATAATTTGCAGCTGGAGATGAATGTGATTATTTGCCATGCAAATGGATTTTGCCAGCTCAAAGTGGCCTTCATCAGCAGACATTGTTGTATTTGACATTATCTGGTTACTTTTGTTTAATGCCTCTGTGCCTTTTCTGAGCGCTTCCTTCCCTGAGCACACATCATCCAGACTAATTTTCTTCCTCTTCCTCATCAATCTGAAGATGTGTGAGTTGAATCCGTAGCTGCCTCTCTCCCCAGTCCCTCTCCAAATATGAAACAAATGGTGAAGCTGTACGTGCTGACAGCCCTGCAGGCTGAGTGTTCTCTGCAGATGGGATGCAAGATGGTCACATTTATCTCACCAAAGTTTAGGCCTTTGCTGGACTGGGATATCTCTGTTACCACCCCATAAACCATATTTCTGCAGAGTGACTCAGATCAGCAGAAAGACAATGCTGAAACATGGTCCCCCATGGAGAAATAAATGGTGTTTCTCACGGGCAGGTCCTCCTTAGTCAGGCTGTCTGGCTTTATTAAACAGCTTTGTATGTTCCCTTCTGTCTGGGACAGTGCTCTGCATCTAAAGAAGGAGCACATAAATAATTTAGACAGAATGCCTGAATGCTGACATCATTCTAAAATCATCTTCCACTCTTAAAAATTATTTGAAAAGATTTTAATATTAATGTCTGCTTGACTTATTTGCTTCTATAGCTATTGAATGGTTACAGTTAATTGTCTATTTGATTGCAGACAGTACAAAACACCTAGATTTTAAAGCATTATTATGAACATCTTGTCTAACCATCTGCTGAATACAAAAGAGAGAATGTCAGTAGGCAAATTATTCATTAAGACCATAACTCCTCTCTGAGCTTCAATATGTCTTACAGAAAAGCACAGGGGCTGTTTTTTTAAACTTCAGGTGATGGAGGGAAAGATCACAGCTGGGCTGTGTGTCTGGTCTGGTTCCATGCTGGTGCTCCTTCCTGCCAGGGGTACGTGGTACAGCAGAGACCTCGACAGGCATTGGTGATGGGCATTGCCCCCTGCCCAGCTAAATTTTCTCATAATTATCTCCATGTCTCATTATTAATATTGTACTCTGAAAGGAATTGAAAATCAAAGCATATTCTCTCTGTTTATTACTAATTTTTTTTTCACTGAATTTTTTTATCCCCACTCTAATTCCATCAACACCTTTAAAAGTAAATTAGGAGCTGAGAAAGACTTCTGGCTTCCTTGGAAGGGTGTGGAGAGTGTGACTTTGGGTAAATGGCCACGTAAATGATGGGCCTGCAAAGAGCAAGCTGCACTTTTTAGACCTTCCCCCTGCTCCTGTCTGACTCTCCTCTCTGTGCCCAGGTCTCTCTCCGGCCGCATAGTCGGTGGCGTCTGGTGGTTCTTCACCTTGATCATCATATCCTCCTACACAGCTAACCTGGCTGCCTTCCTCACCGTGGAGAGGATGGTGTCTCCCATCGAGAGTGCAGAGGACTTGGCCAAGCAGACAGAAATCGCCTATGGCACCCTGGAAGCTGGCTCCACTAAAGAATTTTTTAGGGTAAAAAGGAAACTTTAATGCAAACGTTTTTCTTAGCTTCTTGTTTGACAAGTCCTCCAGGTCCGTTCTCTCTCATCCTCAGCTCAGGTCTGGTTTTTTTTCCACTTGCTTCCCCTCACCATGTTACAGCCTGCCAGAAGATTGGCAGTGACTCCAGTGCATGTGATATTCTGTAGTTGTGAACACAAATATGGAATATCCGTGTGCTTCCCCACGTTACTGAGGAGCTTCTCTGAGCAACTCCAAATGAAACCATCTCCAGATTTCCAGCTTGGTTTGCCCTTGGTTTGAGCTGCAAAATCACTTCGTACACGAATATGGGCCAGAAAATCAGGGATTGATCTGGGCCCTGGTGCAGAAGTGGTAACATCCTGTTACCCCTTTTGGCTTCCTTGGCCTGTTTGATGTGTGGGTGTGTGCTCAGTCCAAGCTGGAAATCTCAGGGGGCACCCAAACCTCTGTTAACGCTTCTGTTGGGTTTCTGCTGTCCTACGCAGCGATCCAAAATAGCAGTGTTTGAGAAGATGTGGACATACATGAAGTCAGCCGAGCCCTCCGTTTTTGTGAGGACGACGGAAGAGGGGATGATCCGGGTGAGGAAGTCGAAAGGGAAGTATGCATACCTCTTGGAGTCCACAATGAACGAGTACATCGAGCAGAGGAAGCCCTGCGACACCATGAAGGTGGGAGGTAACTTGGACTCCAAAGGCTATGGTATTGCAACGCCAAAGGGGTCTGCGCTCAGGTAAGTAGCTTGGATTTGCTTCCTTTTGCCAAACCACCCAGCAAATCAATGTATGCACACAGTTCAATCTCCATTGCCATGTTAATCACGAAAGCTTGGGGCAAGGAGGTGGGGGAGGCGGAGGAAAAGGGGTGTGACCACTCAGTGTGATGTCCAGGGAAGTAAAATGCCCGGCTCCCACTGAGCAGCAGCAGGAGTGTCTAATTCTTCAAGCCCTGCATCTGGAAACTGGATCCTGGCTGATCCACTGGCTATGAATGTGTCTGCTGTATGAGGTGATGGCAGGGGGCTGCTGTGGTGTAACCATTGGTTTCACAGAGCTGTATCCGGAAGGGACGCTCATCCCGTGCCATGTGAACTGCGCAGCTTTGCAGAGTATGGGATTACCCTGCCTTGGATCCATGCTTGCAGAGGGAGTGCTCATGGGGAAAGCATTTTGGTGTTTCCTAAAATGAAATGCTGGTTGGAAGAGGTGGGAAGTCCATTTTGAAAAGCCCTGCAAAGGGTGGGCATTTTCATTCTCTGAGTCAATTTAGATCCCAGCAAGCACCAAAATTTATAGCAAGTCCAAAGAGGTATAAACACTGAGCCCAGAACCACAGCTGCCACATACCTTTGCCCACTGGCCTGTGAAGTATCTTCAGAGACTTTCCTTTAAAAAGAACTCTTTAAGAGCACAAACCCAGGCCTGAGTTAGTAGCAGAGCCTGGACACTGCATACAGCCACACTCCTGGACATGAGCATCCATCATGAAAACTGACCTGCTCAGAGCAGCATTGCCACAGTCCACAGACTGGTATTGTCATCTTGGGCCTGTCAGAAGTGTGGCTCCTTTTGGCAGCAGCCACATCAGTTCCTCACGTTACAATCATGAGGAACATGAGTTACAAAGGTTTAGTAAACCATTAGATTACCAAACCATTAGATTACCAAACCATTAGATCTCAGGATCTGTAGCATTAAGTAATCAGAATGAAACTCCAATGTATTTAATTAATTACTGAGTTATTTATTAATGAAAGCATATTGGCCAGAAGTGTATGTGTGGCCTTATAGTTGTTTGCTAGCATAACCCAATGCAGACACATTTAATCCATGATCTCTGAATATGAAACCAGAACACTACCAGATGGCCATTTGCAGAAGGATCTGTCTGGTCACACAGTGCCCAAGCCAAAGCCAGCCCAAAGAATCAAAGCTGTATCAGCTGGTAGTGGATGAGACCCAAGGATTTTGATTACTACAGTTCTTAGGTCAGCTCACACTCGATTCAGCACTTCCCACATCAGCAGCATCTTTAGAGAAGCTGACGTGACAGCCTGCACCACCCAATGCACAAGGCAATTCTTGCATCCAGTGCAGCTCAGGCTCTGAAATGACTCAGGTTCCTCCAGCTCAAGGTGGACATATTCTCACAGCTTTGAGATGCTTTCTGTTGCACACTTTCCAGTGTTTGTTTTCAGTCTTGCAAATATGGAAATTAGGATATGGGGCTGATTCTATTTAATTAATTATTTACTTAAACATCAGTCTTGGATCCTAATTTCGATATTATAAAAACAAACAAACAGGAACATCCTACCTGTCTTGTAATTTTTGGCATGTGGAAGAGCCATTTTTCATACTTCGAAGAAAAATAAACCACAAGAAAGAAAATTGCATCATTTTATTTTTGCAACTCCAAACATCCCTCTGCTAGGCATGACTCCAAAAATTTCTAACATTTCTTTCTGTTTCTTCTTTTGCATCCTGGCTGCATGTAGAACAAATTTCTTATGGGCCTAATGGCAAAGGAGGAATGCTTGATTTTCCATCCAATGGCGTTTCTTTGGAACAGTTCCTGTCCATTTTTCGTCCCATTGTGTCTGTTTTGTTCCTGATGTTTTAATTGTTTTAATCTCAGTAGTTCCCTACAGTCCTCATGTCTGTTTTCCCCCCGGGGTCCTGCACGTGAGAGGTTGCCCTGAGCAAGGTGACGTTCATGAGGCGTCTGTCCAGCACGGTCATCCTGTCTCTCACTCAGTCTCCATCTTCACTCACTTCCATCCACAGAGTAAAAGCTCTGAGCCAGGATTGCAGGAGGTTTGTGACCCAGGTCTGTCTTGTGTCAGGTGTGTTTTAGAAGCTGGACATTGTAGCTAGACCAGTTTTCCTGCATTTAGGATAGCTTGTTAGGAAAGAATCCTAAAGAGAAACTACAGGAGTGTTCACCATATATTTTTCTTGCTTCTATATGGGCAAACAATGCTAAGATGTTGCCACAGATAAATGAAAACAAGGTTGATAATCCAGAAATAATTCTACATGTGGTAGTAGGTGCAAACAGCCCTTTTAGATCAGTTTGGTCTCGTGGACTGCTAAAAGAAATTGCTTCTTCCTCCTAAGTGAATCTGGCTTTGAATATCTTTTGGCCTCCAGAGGTTAAAATTTAGTTGCATTTAGGCATGTCTGAGAAGGGCAGTAATAGCAAGGCAGAAATTTTACCTTTCAGCACCAGCAAGTTCAAGCTGTGATCCTGCCTGACATGAGGCAGTCACCCTGCTGCAAAACACACCCATTTACCCAGCAGATCTTCTCCACTGCTGGACAAGTGATCAGAAGGAGGGAAAAAAGCCAAATTATCCAAAACAGGATAAAGAAAACCCAAAAAATTCCATGTAGGTCTGGACTCAGGCACTAGAGTTTTTGAGATGGCGGTCTGTGAGAGCAAGTTCTTCAGAGCAGCCATATTGACATTGAAGTTCCATGAAACAGAAGTCAGTTTTCCTAGGGTCTGTGAGTATATACAAAATGTTCCCTGTTAAAAACCCACCTTCATTCAGGACCCCAGACTTTTCAGTCTTCCATCAAAACACAGTCAAGATGTAGTGCAGCCTGTTCTGTGCTCTCCCTGGGAGCTGGAGACACAGTTTACCAAAATGAAGCTTCTTAGGAAAGAAAACACGTAATGTTCAGCACATGGCCCCAGAAATCATATTGCTGATAATGTGCTCAGGGAAACAGCAATGCATTTACTTTGTTAACACCTTGTACCCACATAGAAACTGCAATGTATTTTGCCTCATTAGTTAACTAATTTTTCCCAGATGGTCCAGGCATCAGAGTGCTAAGTAACCTGTATTCTGTTTTAGAAGACAGAATAATTATGATTTACTTAGTGTCAGATTCTTTCTGGAGCTACACTTACATGCTCCCATTTGCTTTAAATGCAACCAAACTCAGGCTCTGACTAAAATACCGTTAGAGTTGAAAAGAGAAAATATTCAGTCACCTTCACATCTACACCTTTGCCTTCTCTTGGACTGGTAGCAAGCTTGACTGCATCTGGATTTTGCTTTTTGAAGGCTGGATTCTGCCTGAAGGAGGCTCCCAGTCCTTGTGAAGGCTTCAGTGCTCGGATGGAATCACAACAGGCAGAGCTGTGGCGGGCTCCTGGAGGTCAGCACATTCCTCTTGCTCACAGTCAGGCTCATTTTAGAACTGCAATACAGAACAGCCCCCTTGCCAAGGGTTTCTTGGTGTGGCACAGAGCACAAATTCTGAGATTGGAGCTGCAAGACCCTTGGCCTTTTTAAAGACCTGTTTTGTTTGCATTCAAGGTGTGTTGACGTACAGTTCATCCCTCCACCTCTTCCATAATTTTTAAAGCCCTCCCATGTTTGTGCCTTGCTGTGCTTAGCTTTGTACTTCTTTTTCATGCAATGACAACACCAGCATTGCACCTGATATTCAGCACCCAGAAAAGAACCGTGCCCATGTGCAGAGCCTGTAAAACTCACCAATGCACATCCTGAGCCAAGGCGCTCCCTCAGATGTTCCCCGCTGGAGCAGTGAGATGTGAACAGGTCTGAAGGCAGACTGCAACACAGCCTGGCTTTGGAGGCCGTCCTAAATCCAGATCACTGGTCTTCTTTCTGAATTGTAGAATCTGCCCAGCATGAGACTCATGCAATGTTTTCTATGACTGGGGAGATGCATCTATGAAAGATGCATCCAAAAGTCCTGGGTGTTCTGGGGTTTGTGCATTTTAAGGGTGATACAACCATCCCATGACC